TACTCTCATATACTGTACCCCTTTATTCAAAATAAGAATTCCTCTGCTTCTTGCTACATTCATTCATTTTTATTTATACAGGTTAGTCTCATTGAGCCCACAAGGACTCATTTACAAGAGAGACCAAACTACTTGATGCTTACTTTTTGCTTACACCCACAGAGTTTTTAATAATGTCCAAACTTCTCTTGCAGGGAACTCAACTCCATTTTCACCAAGTCAGGGTAGATGCCCACTCGACCGGTCCACCAGTGACAGTCCTCAAATCCCATAACCCACACTTCAAACTGTCAGTTTTCACTTGCTTCAATGATCAGCATTATGACTAAAGAAGCCTTTTGGATGAAAGACAAAACATTTCTACATTTTTTTTATTTATTTTTTTTTATGTTCAGAGGACCTGACTTAACTTTTTTAGATTTTTCTACCTGGATTGTTGAGCATGCCTCAGGAGATCAGCATTATGGTTCCACATGATAAATTTCACACACTTCCTTGAAGTCTCCACAACAGAACAACTATCACAAACAAAAACGAGGGCATTGCCTCATCAAATACAGATGTTTGATTTTCCTACTGTTGATATCTGGGAACATTCAACCTATTCAGGTTCTCATATCTATCCAGCTGCTAATAGCATTTCTGCTTCTCCTGATGTGCACTCATTGACTTTCAATACTTTATGTGAACGTAAATGTCTTGGTTTTATGCATCTAAATATATGCGGTCTTCTCCATAAACTAGCCGAGGTGAATGCATACAGTATGTTAACACTGGAAACCCTGATATTATGGTCATCTCTGAAACTTGACTTAAGAAATGTATCCACACCTCTGAAGTTTTCATCACTGGTTATAGCGTACAATCAAGACAGAAGCTCTAAGGGTGGGGGTGGGGGGGGGGGTGGGGGGGAGGGTGTGGGGGGTGTTGTCATTGTCATCTACTGTAAGAACATTTTGCAGTGTTCCAGTTTTTCATTAAAATCTGTTGCCAATCAGTTTGAAATTATTTTAAAAATCAGCTTATCCACAAACAACAAAGTCCATGCTCAATAATCCAGGTATAAAATCCAACATTTTTCAGTCAGGTCCACAAACTTTACTCAAACTGTTACTGGTTGTTACAGATCTTCTGCTCCAGTATATGAACTGGGACAATACCAGCCCTCTGCTCTCTGTGAAACTGCAGCAAGATTCAATAAATC